TCTACATCAACATGTGTCCCCTCTTCTTCATGTCTCTTCTACAGGGTGTCCGCGGGGTCTTAAAAAGTATTAAAAGTTGATCAATTAATTTAGCGAAAATTAAGGCTATTAAAAAGTATTAAACGGCATTTTCCAAGGTATTATATTATGTAGCTTGTTTTCAATAAGTATATAAATTGTCCAAAGAGGTTGTATTCTACAGTTTGGTTGGAAGATAAGGAGGAAGGAAAGTCAATACTGTATATAGTAAATGTGCTTGTGTCGCCAATGTAACCGGTTAAAACTCGAATTGGCGATGAGGTCTTAAAACGTGTGGAAAGAGTCTTAAAAAAGTCTTTAAAAGGTATTACATTTGACTTCAGGATTCCTGCATATACCCTGATACTGCCGTGTATTACATTTTAAAGTGCAGAAATGTGCACAATATATTCAGAGAGATGAACATGGCTCCCAGTATTTGAAAAATCAAAACAATATTGTTCTTTTCCAGATTACAATGTGAAGCCGAGCCAAGAAATACTTATTATCTAATCTTTTTTTATTGCGTGTTTCTGCATTTTGGCATAACTCCTGATGTTCCTGTGCCAGTTCTTTGACCCAGGTGAGGTGCTGTACGCCTACGACAGCCCCGCCGGATACGGGCTGATGGGCCTGCAGCTGCTGGCCTACGTCTGGTTCTGCTACGCCGTGCTGGTGTCTCTCAAACACTACCCTGAGAAACAACCCTTCTACATCCCTTTCTTCACCACATACACACTATGGTGAGACCCGCACTGCTTCCACTACTCTGCCCTCCCCGGGATAATGGCACCTGAGTGAGATTGCAGGAGTAGAAAAATACACTATTCTCTGTTTGAGCTGTCTTCCATTTGAATAATTTATGCCGCTGTGTGAAAATGTGCACGAGATAGCCGATGCTTCAGCGGCACGGGAGTGAAAAGTTGTTTATTTTACACTGCCCTTCTCCAGCATTGTGTTCCCAACCTCTGTGCTCTGCTAACAGATAAGATAATTGTGCTTGAGTGAATGATTGCTAGAGGAAAACATTTATTTTTACCCAGCTGATGAGGTCTCTCCCATTAGAGTAATTTATTCTCCCATAAATGTGTGCTTGGTAGTTTAAAGCTTTTTTTACTGCAAAGTGTTTTCCCTTTTTGAACAGAAACTCTTCTCCATACACTCCTCGGCTTCTCTCACTGGATTTAAGATCACGAGCTTCAAATGGAGAGTAGATTACAAAGAATAATATTATCTTAGTTTTTATTTCGCGCTCTCATTGCCGCCACTATCTCCCGCCTCATTATCTATGACTCTCCCCTCCTTCAATCTTTATCTCTCTGTGAGATTTACATCTATTTCTTCTCCGTCTGCCTCTCTTTCCCTCGCCATTAAAAACTCTCTTCTTTTCTTTCAATGTGTTTTTCATTATCCTAAATCACTACTGGTTTTTTTTCTCAGGTTTTTCGCAGTGCCTGTTATGGCTCTGATCGCCAACTTTGGGATTCCTCGTTGGGCTCGGGAGAAGATCGTGAACGGCATTCAGCTCGGCATTCACCTCTACGCCCACATCGTCTTCCTTGTGCGTACCACACACACACACACACACACACACACACACACACACACACACACGCGCGCTTATGCAGACCCTTCATAGTTAACATTGTTCGAGAGTCATTATTGACGCTGTCAGCCATACATTATTCACTATCCTTGAGTCATAACTGCTTCATGCTGATTGTCTCCTCCACACATCATTATCTAGCTCATCCTCACCTTTGACACATTGTTCTAGTCTCATGGTCTGCGCTGCTTACAGAAATCCCCTTTTATATTCACTGCATGCATTACAATCACATCTTCTCACTTGGGACCTATATGTTCTAGCTATGTGTTAGCTATTAGAAATGATCCATACATAGAGTATACATGTAAGAATCAGCACAATCTTTGTTTCCCTTTTTAAGGTTATCACACGACCCTCAGCAGCCAATAAGAACTTCCCATATCACGTCCGGACGTCTCAGATCGGGATCCTGCTGTCCAGCCCGAAAGCAGGCGAAGGGGCGGAGAGTTTCCCCCATCATGCATATGGAAACGGTTCCTTCCTGGGAGACTCGCAACCCAACTTCACTGAGCTCTTCTCCATCCATTCAGTGAGTGTAGCTCCACGTGGTTATGGGTGCATGGTTCATATCTTAGATCGAAGTTGTTGAAGTAGAAGACACATAAGAGAAAGTGCTGTGACGTAAATGACATCGCAGAAACAGGTAAAAGGTAAATCAAATCATCAGAGGGAGAATTGTAGCCCGTGTGCTGGCTGGGTAAAATATCAATATTTGATTAATTAATTAACATTTTATTTGTTGTACCACACATGGTAAACAATTCACAAAACAAGTACACTTTGACAGGGCGTCCGCGGGGTCTTAATTAAAAGTTGATAAATCAATTTAGAGATAATTAAGGCTATTAAAAAGTATTGAACGGCATTTCCCAAGGTATTACATTTTGTAGCTTGTTTTCAATAAGTATATCAATTGTCCAAAGAGGTTGTATTCTACAGTCTGCCTGAATGTAATCATTGCGTAGGTGTGTAGTGTGATTCTGTGTAGTTTATTTATGGCATCCCGTTGGATTTGACGTCATCTGAACAGGACATCGCACGCTCACTGCTTGATAGCCTGCGAAGGCCCGTTTACGCCGGTTGCTAAGCAACATCGCTATGGGGAAATGCAAGTTTGCGTCCAAATGGTTGGAAGATAAGGAGGAAGGACAATCAATACTGTATNGGATCCCGCCTACTGCAAAACAGCCCAGAACCAGGTTACGACATGCTTTTATTCAGGCACTGATTACCTGATTCCGATCAGCTGTCTGGCCTCCGGCCGAGCCACTCCCTTCACTCCAGCAGCCAGCGCCCAAACCACACCCCGCTGCCACAGGAGATAATACAAATCATCAGTTATCTGTTGTTAACCCTCTGTGTGATGTTTTACAGTCACATCCCCCCCGACTGAGGGCTTCCAGTCTTCCAGTGTGGAGGTTCTGCCTACTGAACCTTCAGCACAACACGAATTTGGTAAATCACAAACATGGCTTTAAGTTTAAAACTAAAATCAATTTTTAAATAAATTGTGTTAGTGAGAGAAAATAACCTTATACACAACTGACAGTTCAGGACTCNGTAACCGGTTAAAACTCGAAGTGGCGATGAGGTCTTAAAATGTATGGAAAGGGTCTTAAAAAAGGTCTTAAAAGGTTTTACATTTGACTTCAGGATTCCTGCATATACCCTGTTTGAGCAGCTTATAGAGCCCATGATGGAAAGGAGAAGGGACATCATATCGATATCAAAATGTGTAGATAACTGCTTGGATTTGATAAATCTTCATATTGCATAATTGTAGTATTTTCCTGGTTTAAAAGGCTGCATATGGTAGTAGGTGATTTCGTTTTCTGAGTTGACCAGACTAGTTGTTCTATTATTTACTTTAACCCACATGGTCGTTATATCCATATTACCCTATTCATCTAAAAATCTCATTGTGTAAATATTTCCTGAAAGCACCAATGGTACAACAGTCCCAGCTTAATGTGGTTATTTGGTCAAAATGTGTGTGTAAAATATTTAAATGTCTCCATAAAGGGCTTTTCTCCACAGCCCTGACGGTATGAGTGTCTCTATCCAGTTTAATCTACCCTAACGTAGCGTTTTGCAGTGCTCGCAATATGGAATTAGATTAATCTAAGTTTTATTAATTTTTTTTAAGCTTTCAAAATGCAAATATAACCGTGTCAAACCTAGCTTGAAATTAATTGCTGTCTCATCTAACAAAGATGCCTCAAATTGGAAGTCATCAGTGAAACATAGTTTGTGAGAGAACATGTTTTTGGGGGATTATGTCTTGGAGTAAACTGCCAGTGGTGAATGACGGTAAGCACTGCGTAACACAGCACACTGATATTAAAACACTTTAGGCACAAGGAAATAATGATTTAATGGAAAGTGTGACAAGAGCAAATTAAGGCATTGTGTTTGCTGTGATGAATCTTCTAGCTTGGGGAACTTTTAAATCTGTGGGTGTTTTTTCATACTGCACAGAAATGACAGAAGAAGAGCTCTAAATGTTCAGCTACACTAACACAGCATGCAGACAATACAGGAATATACACAAAAACACCAAAAGCAAACCAGAGATGATAAGATGCATGACAAGTGACACAAAGTCATGAAAATGAAAATAATGTATCGAGTTTTCTTTGTATAAAAAGGGACTTAACGTGTAACGATATCCAAAAGTATAATATAACTAAGATCATTTGTATTGATAAGGTTAGATGGCAACTCTTTAATTTATATTTGAAATGCTCATGAGATGGAGGAAGCAGAGGCCTGTACTACGAAGATAGTTACCTGGATATGTTTGAGTTACCCGGCTTACCTAATCCAAAACAAACGCGCTCTCGCTAAACTGTCCTACGATGCTGGTTATCAACTCGGATCAACGGATTACAACGGCAGTTTTTCTGTATTTCCTTTCTCCTGTAATATGACTTGATAGCTTTAAACTCCGCACACTGAGCTCTGACTGGTCTTTCACTGAGTTGATCTCTTATCCTGGAACCTAACCTGCTCCGGAGAAGGTTAGCAATTCAGCACAAGTTACCATGGAGATCTAGCCCGGTAAGAAGAGAACCAGCGTCGTAGGACCGGAAAGCCGGAGTTGTCCCTGAAGTTAGCTCGCTAAGCGAAAATCCTGCTTCGTAGTACAGGCCTCAGGTCCTGATGTTTTAATGCGAGCCAGTATGTTTTGGTATCTAGTCCTTGCTATTTCCTGTGTTAGAAACCTACCACCAGAATAGCTGCATTTGTCGCAGACATCTAATTAGAAGACACTGCACAAAGGTGATTTGGTGAAAAATAAATGTAAGTCTTGTCTCATAAAAACAGTACGGCATGCAGTGTTATTGTTTTGGGCATTCGGCCTGAAGGGTAAACAGTTATCACATCCGCCTCTGTGCTATCTGTGGTTGACACATTTAGAAATGTCTAGAAAAACCATTTACAGATAAAATGAGTATGCCAAAGGTTTGTCAAATGTGGGCAAAGTTCATAAAGGTAAAATAAATCAAAATGTTTGGTATTTGTATATATCTCACTGTTTTAGTAACTTTTAAAAAGTGACTAATGAATCATTGATAAAGTGCAGCACATGTACTGTGCATGTAAATAAAAACAAAGAATCCACTTACAATAAAATCAAGTACATACGGACCGTGTTAAACAGTCCAAATCATTTGGGAGACTGCAATGTATTAAGAACGTAAAAAGATGGATCAAGGAGGTTGTCAAAAATATTCCAGGTTCCACCAGGATATAAAAACATAGGCGTCATAAAATATTCAATGTATCTTGGTTTTTAGTACCATATCAAGCAGGCACTAATTACCAGAGGGTCTGTTTGTAAGGGACTGGAGGTCAGGGAAAACAGAGCAAGTGTAATAGCATATTTTATTGTAAAAGATAACATGTTAGGAAATGAATACATACAAGAAAGGGGAGAACAAAATGAAGACACACAAACACCAAACAGCTCGGGGAGAGTGGTGGGTCTTCCCACCTGGGGAAGCCATCAATACTTAAAGGTCCCATGTCATGCTTTTCTGGTTATTACCCGTCCCCTTGTGTGTTATGAAGGTTTTTCTGCATGTAAACGGTCTGCAGGGTCACAAACCCTCAAAGTACACCCTGTAGCGAGTAAAACTCTAACACAGAAAATACCTCCCCAAAACGCCTCGTTGGAGATACGTCACTGTCCATTGATTCTTCCGGGTACGCACGATGTCAACCGTACCGTTTATCAACCTTTTTCTTACTCAATATCAAGCCACACTTATTGTTTTTACTTCGTCTGTGACTTTGTGTGTGCTCAGAGTGAGTTTGACTGTGTTTCGCTAAACAAGGAAACAACACCTCCACGGAGCTCAGCGCGATTCACAACGTCCCGACCAATCAGAGCACACTGTGCTCACAGGGAGGGTGGGGGCTGGAGCTACTGGAGCTACAACGAGCCGTTAAAGTCAGAGAGTGAAATTCAGTGAATACACGTAGTTTACAGAGATGCTGTTTGAGAAACCAAAGTGATTTTGGAAAATTGCACAATATAAATCTATTCTAGTAGACCTCAACAATGGAATTATGATCAGTGGAAATGGCCATGAAATGGGACCTTTAATACACTTGCACAAGATCTATGAGTCCAGACTTCATCCTCTGTGTTTTATAGACTCCCAGGTAATCAAGGGGTTCCAGATCCGATAGAATTAGAACAGTTTTTCCTTTAAGGCTGAGGAGAATGCTTCAAAA